AATGATGATCTATGCCGAAATCTATCACTCTCTCAGGAGGAATTTTGGGTAGGTCATTAGGAAAAACTTCTGGAAACTCTCTTACTATAGGAACTGACTGAAAAGGAGGTATCTCAACACTAAAGTCATTAACTCGGACTAAGTGATAGATATAACCCTTTGAAACTAACTTTCTCGCCTTAAGGTACGAAATGAAATGACCCTTAGGCCCTGCTGAACTACTACTCCACTCTATAACTGGCTCATTCAGAAACTGAAACTTAACTGCTCGAGTTCTACAATCTATCGATGCATAGCAAGCATGAAGCTAATCCATACCTAGAATGGCATCGAAATCTACCATGTCTAACTCAACCAAATCAGCCATGGTGCTCTTGTGATTGATAGAAGCAGGACAATCACAATAAACTCTTTCTACTAGAATAGACTCCCCAACAGGTGTAGAAACACAAAAGGGTTCACAAAGTCTTTCAGGAAGAACCTCAAACTGATTTGCAACATAAGGAGTTACAAAAGATAAACTTGCTCCTGGGTCTAGCAAAGCATACACATAAAAAAAAACAAAAACTTTGATCATACCAGTAACAACATTTGGAGAATTCTCTTGCTCATGACGACTGGTGATTGCATAGAGGTGGTTTGCTCCTCCACCGGTACTAGAAGTAGCTCCTCTAGGGGTCGTCCTGTTTGGTGGAACAACTGAGGAAGACTGAGCTCTATTGTTCCCATTACCCTGCATATTCTCTGGACACTCTCGCATGAAATGTCCATTCTGTCCACACTTGAAACAACCAATGGAACCCTCTCGACAAATACCTAAGTGGTTCCTACCACACTTGGCACAGGCAAGAGACTTACTAACCCCTTGTGCCACACTACCCTATCAATAGCTAGGTTTTACTTTGACATTTTGCCCATAGTACTCACTCTTGTTCTTAGGTGCAGGTGCACTAGCAGATGATAGAGCAGGTCCCTTCTATTTCTGTTGGAAAGACGAACGGTTTGCATCACTCTTCTGTTGTCCGGACTCATTCCCTGTCTTAGCTCTCTTGTTTTTGAACTCCTCCCTATCCCTCAGCTTCTCTTCCTCTACCTGCTACACATAGACCATCAACCTTGATATGTCCATGTCCCCAATAAGCATTGCAGCCCTACCTTCCTTGCTCGACCATCGAGACAACCCAGCTACAAACAAACTCATTCTACTCTTCATGTCCGCAACCATCTCCAGAGCATAACGGGATAATTGTGTGAACTTCAACCCATACTCAAGAACACTTATAGACTCCTGCTTAAGCATGAGGAACTCACGTACCTTGGCATGTTTCAATTCTCGGGGAAAGAAACGCCCCAAGAAAGTTTCCTCAAAACATGCCCAACTCGCAAGTGGTGCATTCTCAGCTCTGCTCCCTTTCCACTGGTCGAACCAAGTTCTAGCAACATCCTTCAATTGATGCGCAGCTAGTTCAACCCGCTCAATATCTGCCACATGCATCACATCAAAAATCTTCTTCAGCTCCTCAATGATGTTCTCTAGATCCTCAGTAGTGCTCGAACCCATGAAACTTGGAGGATTCATCCCCAAGAACTCACGAATCCTTGAAGTGTCAGCTCCTTCATGTCGAACTCCCCTTTGCTGGCCAATCTGATTAGTTACAGCTTGACTCAGCATTCTAATTGCCTCTCTGAACTCGGCATTAGAAACTTCCCCTTGTGGTTGCATTCCCGGGGCATAAGGTAACTCTAGCTCATCAACACAACGTCTAGGAAGACGCCCTCTGCCAACTCTTCGTGGAGGCATGACTATCTGAAACACGCGCAAGCATGCATTAGAAAGAAACTTTTTAGAGATAAACTCTAACGCAAGAGATGAGTGTGAAAGAAATGAGAAATCTTGCTAAATGTTGCAGCCTCCCAATTATAGATGTGGCACGCTTCACACCGATAACTAGGACTCTACAGACATGGCTTCATAGACTCCCTAGGACTCTGGAACTTGCTTTGATACCAAGTTTGTCACGCTCTAAGCCTACACCCTGGACGTGGCCGGCACTTGAAGACCATTGTTGGCCCCAAGCGAACCCTTGGCCTGGCTTCTTAACTCAGCGGAAACCTAAATCAACTGAATAACTCCATGCAATGCAAGGACATAAAAAAAACTTAACTGATAAAATCTGGCCAAAAAGGCAACTCAAGTCTCAAAATAGAATATTTACATATATACATAGATGAGAGACTCAATACTAACTGACTGACTGTCTATGAAGCCTCTATAATACAGAGATGGATGTTAGGACAGACACCGCAACATCCTAACAAAATAAAACTAGAAACACAAAATAACAGAGTCCTCCGGAATGCAAGGAGGCTCACCACTGACTCTGGAGTGCTCAACTGGATCAACGCCGTGCTGGATGCTGATCCTAGGTACCTGCGTCTGCATCGTCATAAGATGCAGGCCAACTGGCATCAGTACATTAAATGTACGAGTATGCAAGCTGGAAAGCTAAGCAACATAGGCTAGAAGGAAATCTGGAAGAAACTGAATAACTTACCTGGCTCAACTCAACTCAACCTGACTGACTCATTTCAATATAATGCAATTTAAAACAAGTGCAATATAAAGAAAAGTTGTTTAAAACTTGTTATAAACTTTGTGTGTATACAAAGATACAATAATCCTGAGATGTATATAGAAATACAAATGAACTGATGTATATAAAAATACAATAATTTCTGTGTATGAAAATACAATAACTGATGTGTATGAAAATACAATAACTGTTGTGTATGAAAATACAATAACTGCTGTGGGAGTTTCTCAACCGACAACCATCACATAGAGCTGTAGTGATGATACAGCGATCGACCTCACGCTGTAAGAGCATCTTATACCCGGCCAAAGGTATAAGACTTGAACTGCCTAATGGATCCACTAGTCTATCTGGAAAATAATTCAACTAAAAAGTATGATCTTTTTCTACCCATGGTGGCTAACATGGTTCTGTGGGGGCTGTGGGTTTCTTGACCGCTCCCCCAACTCGGTGCTCGATACTACTCCCAAAATGTACTGGCTCTTATGTTTTTAAAACATATTCCTTCCTACTGATTTGAGATAATTACTCAAAACTTAGCTCAAAGGCTAACTTGGAAATCTCAGTTTCCTCTTTTGGTTCATTTAGAAAGCGATAACTCTTTTTCTAAAAAACTAGCACGAAGGCTCTTTGGAAATCTCAGTTTCCAAAGCTTGTTTAAATGTGAAAACATTTATAAACTTCTTTGGGAATACATAGTCCCCATATACTTCTTTGAAGAAAAGAACTTCAAACCTTAGCTTTTCTTTTTAAAACAACCTTTTTCTTTAGTTTGAGATAATTACTCAATGCTTAGCCCAAAGGCTCTTTTGGGATCGATGTTCCCTTTTCTTGCTCAAATGTGTAAAAACATTTATAAACTCTTAAGGAATACTTAGTTCCCTTGTAACTTTCCAGAAATGAACTCAACTTTATACTCTTGACTTAGCTTGAAACTCGATACTCTTTGCTTGACTTGAAACTCTATACTCTTTGCTTGACTGGAAACTTGAGCCTAAAAATGAAGTTAAAACGTTCATTAAAGACTCATGCTTGACTTCTTAACTTCTAAGCTTGGCTCTAACTTCACTTGACTTCTAACTTCACTTAACCCTAACTTTACTTGACTTGGAAACTAACTCTCCTTGAATTGGAATTATGAATTCAAGGTGTTTGATCACATGTTATGGACGAGTTCTTGATGTTTAAACTTACCTTGGGGTGTTGGAAACAACTAGGGAACATAGGTACAATACCTAGGAACATGCATGAGAAAGTGGGGAAGGAATGGGAAGACTTGGCGCTTTGAGAGGCGCGGAGTGCCAGACCAAAAACATCAAAAGGGTCTGGTTGGGGCTCTGGTAGGGGCAACGCCCCAAGGGCTGGACCTCAAAGTCCCTTTTGGGGTGCGCTGGCTGGCGCGACGCCCCAACCCTTTTCCCCGAAAACTTGACTTTTCTCCTTCATTTTTCCAACTCTAAACCTCCCTTACCTTCAATGGTTTCAACCCCAAACACTAAGGATCATAAAATCCCTCAACATACTAGAGATTCAACTCAAAAACACAACCAAAACATGTCTCAAATCAACAAGAACTTCAACAACACAATCAACAACATCAACACCACCACCAACAACTTCAACAACACAACCAATCTTTTTCTCATAAATAAAACGAGTTTGGCGTGTGGGGGAAAGGACCAACCCCAACATTATGAACTCACATACCTTAATAGGGATCACCCCCGATGATATCCACGACGATCTTTGACGAAACCTTCCTTGATCTTCTCTTTCTCCTCTTCCTCTCCTCTTCTCTCAAAAGCCCTAATTCTCACTCTCACTCTTTTAAAATGAGAAAAACTGATCAAAATCAGTCTAACACACTAATATATATCCCAAAGAAAAGGCTAGGGAAAAGATCAAAATGCCCTTAAAATTTCCAGACGGATTCCCTGCCAACTGCCCAACTTCCAAAGGGAATAACTCACTCATACGAACTCGGAATCATGTAAACTTGGCGGCATTGGAAAGATCATTCCACGAGCTTCGCAACCATAACTGGAACTACACCTAACTCATCTTGAGCTAGAATTTATGACTGCTCAAAGTTGGACAGAAACTCACTTTTTCCCATACTTAGCTAAATTTCAAGATTTTTAAATTCTTTCCAAAAATGAAAATTTCCAATTCTAAGCCTCTTCAATTATTTCACATTGCCGGATGTTACAATTTAACGCGTTATTCTCGTGGTGACTTTAATAGTTGTTTGTCTGATTAACTATATGACTATTCTCATATCAATCTACTATTAATTCTTTTTGAAAATCTAAAATTCAATAAACATAAATAAAAGTTTGCTACTTTAAGATGAAACTGAAAGACGAATTACAACCTCGAAAAGTTGGACCATACAAACTTATTGAATCATAATTCTATATTGTAAAACAAAATACAGAAAACGATACATAGAAGAAGACATGATTCAGTTTCTAAATTATTAGCATTTTTGAGGTTATCCTCATTTGTCAGCGGGAAATTAAGTTTGGCTTTAGGGCCGTGATACATCCTTGCCGCCGTATCAAAGGCCGCTGCAGCTTCTTCCGATGTTTTGAACGTACCAAGCCAGACACGTACCTTCTGGATGGGATTTGTATTCTCAGCTCCATATGTCCCCCATGGCCTCTTTCTCACACCTTTATACTGCACCACGTTCGGCGGTATAGCCATCGCCGTCGTCGTCATGTCATCATTCTTTTTCTTTGCCATTTGAGAAAACTAATTAAAAGAGTGTTTTGTATATAGAAAAGACTCAGTATGTGAAAAGAGAAGAGGGAAAGTGATTTATATAGTTGTTTCTCAGTGATACATTTAATTTGGTTAACTAATTATATATTACATTTGGAAAAATAATTGTTGAATTAAAGTTGACTAAGATTACATGAATTTTGACTAGGAAAATTCTCTTAAGGTCCACTAAATTTTCTCATCAAAAAATTATATTTTCATTGATCATAAGTTCATAACCAATCAACAATACTCAAAGGTAAGTAAATCACTAAAAAAGGAAATTTATTAATTTAGTTACAACATCATCTTTGGTCAAACAATATTTTTTTTGAAAAATAAGTAGGGTGATATGTGGTGTAATCTTGGACCTTTGGATTCTGGTTTAAATCAAAGTTCTATTCTTTTTATTATTCTCAAGTTCTTGTTTAGATTATTAATAGATGACATAAGTTAAATTCAATAACTATGATTTAACTGATTAAAATAAATCCTAAATTATAATTTATATATTATATGTAAGGAGAAAATAATCTCTCTTCCTTCTTCTTTTTATCTTTCACGCAGGATACTTTTGTTTCATTCTCCTTTTATGTTATATTTTTATTGCATTTTTATTTGAAACTTTCTTTTCTAAACATTTATTGAATTTTAAATACCCATGAACATGGGCCTTTTTAAAAAATAATACTTTATATTGATATAAAATTAGAGAAGAATATCACATTATTCATTTTATTCATTCATAAAAACACATTTTTTATGAGAAGTACTTGGTGTAGTATGACAGAATCCTATGTAATGTAGTACGTGTTAATTTGCTATTTTAGCTGAAAAGGAAAGACGAAACAACTTCCCTCAATCCACAAGGTTCCTTCGTGTATTTTCCTTTTCCGATCAAACAACCAAACAAAAATTCATCTAATAAAATTTGGTAGCGGCGAAAAGTATGGCCTCTCGGGGTCTTATACATCATGTCATGTCTAGGGTGTACTTTGGGTCATCACACATTCTTAGGCCACATTATGTATGGCAAGGGTATTCTAGTCGACGCTCAAAAAATTGAAGTAGTGCAGAATTGGCTCAGACACACATCCCCAACTTACATAAGGAGTTTCTTGAATTTGGTGGGTTACTTCAAATGGTTTATCGAGGGGTTCTCATCTATTTCATCCCCATTGACTAATTTGACCCAAAAGAAGGCTAAGTTTCAATGGTCTAAGGCTTGTGAGAAAAGCATTTAGGAATTAAAAACTCGATTGACTTCTGTCGGAGGGTACAAAAGGTTTTTTCCATCTATTGTGATGCGCCCAGAGTAGGGCTTGGTTGTGTACTGATGTTGAATGGTAAACTTATAGCTTATGCCTTCAGACAATTTAAAATCCACGAGAGAAATTATTTGACTCACGATCTCGAGTTTGCAGCAGTGGTCTTTGCTCTTAAGATATGATGTCACTATCTCTATGGCATTCATGTGGATGTGTTAACTGACCACAAGAGCTTTCAGTATGTTTTCAATCAAAAGGAGCTCAATCTTAGGCAGAGGAGGTGTCTAGAGTTACTTAAAGATTATGACATGAGTATTCTCCACCATATAGGTAAGGCTAATGTTGCCTTAGCAGGTTATCCATAGGGAGTACTGCTCCTGCGAGTGAAGGAAAGAAAGAGTTGGCAAAGGAAGTGCACAGACTTGCACGTTTGGTAGACTCTAGTAAAGGTGGAGTTGTTGAAATGAATGAGGTTAAATTATCCTTGGTGATTCAACTGAAGGAGAAGCAAGATAGAGACCCAATCTTACTTGAGTAGAAGGCAAATGTTCATAAGCATAAGGTGATGGATTTTGAACAAGGGGGAGATGTTGTGTTGAGGTATCAAGGTAGATTGTATGTTCCAAAGGTAGATGATATCCAAGGTAGGATCATGACAGAAGTCCATAGTTTCAGATATTCGATTCATCTAGGATCTACAAAAACGTACCACGACTTGAGAGAAGTCTATTGATGGAGTTGAATGAAGAAGTGTATCGCAGATTTTGTTGCTAAATTTATGAATTGATAACAAGTCAAGGTTGAGCACTCTAGAAATGTGATTTTTGACCGAACTTGATGTTTGCACCATTTTTAGTGCTTAAATATTTCTTTTATATCTAAATTAGATATTTTAACTTTTATCTTATTTTAGTAAGTTTTTTAATAATTTGAAAACTACAAAAATATAGAGTCGTGTTTAAGGCTACGTTTTATTTTCAATTTGTTAGAGAAAAAAGAAATTTTACATAAAATATATGTTTTCTTTTAATTTCGATTTAATAAATAAGAAAATGTTTCTTAATTATATTTTTAGATTAGATATTTAGCTTTTCTTATATTTTTATTAATTCAAAAAAGTTAGTTAATATTTTACTATTATAATTTTTATATGTATTTAATTTTAAATAATTAACCTAAACTATGAAACTCATCTAATCCTAAATTCCCTCTAACCTACCAACATTCCCATAACACTTACAACTCTACTTACCCCCTTTAATTTTCTCAACCCAAAACAACCCCCTCAACCCCAATGCACTCCCTAAAAACACCTACATACACTGCTAAAACAAAACACCCTCAGATAGTACTCCACAATATATACCCACATACAGACGAACAACAACAAAGAAAAAAAACATACGCACATTTGGAAAAAAATAAAGATTGAATTTGAGGTTTGTTTTTGTGGTTTCGAGTTCGTGGATCATTTTATTTTAATGAATTGACTTTCGTAAGAGGTAACATTTAATTTTTATTGTATGATTTGATTTACATGATTATATAAGACCTTATTCCAATGTCATGAAGTTGATCAAATTTTACGTGTGTTTAATTTTGACACAATAATATTAAAACATTTCCTCTTTATTTTATTCTACGCTAACTTCCATCTTTTTTCATATGCTACTATAAATTAAATACCTTTTATATCCAACCAAGATTAACTAAAGGCCTTAAAGAAATATTCTAATAGTTGTATCTAAAGTTAAAAATGGTTTATTCGGGAAAAATTGAGAGACAAAGAGTTACACATTTTTTTTTTTAAAAATGTCTTTTGCCATAACTTGTAAGTATACTTAAAATATAAATGCATCTATATCGAATTTGAATATAAAATAACTTTTTGTTTGTTTAATAATTTAGACTTTTATTATTTAGATAGTGTCCATGAATATAAATAGTAAAAAAGTAATTTAATCACTAATAATACACTTAAGTTCTCTAGTAATAGGTAAATAGTAGTAAAACATATGACTTGTTTGTGTAATATACCAAAAGAACAATAAATTACCGTTGAAATAAAATGAACAAAAATGAATAAAATAAATCTTTAGGTTGAGGCGCGAATATCTCACTCTCTTTAAGTAGACTCAAGCCCACTGCGGCATAATCTACATTGATCCAGTAGTATCACTCTTGACCACTATAGTTTTTTTTAGTTTTTTTTTTTTGTGGTTAAAAGAGGTGAGTATTATAGTTAATCTCTGAGTTAATATCTCAAAAGGTCATTCAACTTAAAAAATTAATCTAGCAAAGTCATTAAACTTTGTTTTATATCAATGAAATCACTCAACATAGTTTTTTTTTTATCAATAAAATCACTCAACTAAATTTACATTATAAGAAAATCTAACATGGCAAAATAAAATATCTTTTTATTCCATATATAACTATAGAGCCCATAAATAAATAAAAAATTTAAAAAAACTTTTTAAATATTTTTTACGAAAAAATAATATTAGTAAAATAAATATTATAATATTAATATATATTTAAAACTTACTATATATATATCATGATAGGTGATATTTTGAAAGAAAAGAACAGACAAATCGTTGTAGATTGGTGATTAATCGGAGGAATTGTTGATAGTACAGTTGAAATTGTTGCAAATTTTAAGTTTTTAATTGCGTTAGTTTCACCTTTAACGTGAATAGGGAAGAAAAATTGTTCGTTTTAAATATAAAACAATTTTCGTCCGTTAATATCTTACCATATAAATTAAAATATATAATAAGTTTTGTCCGTGAAAACTCCTTAATAAGTTTTTAAATTTTTATTTATTTATTTGTGAGTTTATATAATCATATGGCATAAAACAAATATTTTAATGGGAAAATTTTCAAAATAGCAATATTTTAGCTTTAAGTGGAACTCCTTTAGCAACAGTTTCATTATTTATTAAAAATGTCATTATTTTAGTTTGTTAAGGGATTAGTTATGTATTTATTTTATTTTGATTAATTTGAAAGAATACAAATAATTATTAACAGAACAGAGAAAATCATGGAACAAAAAATTCAAAAAAGGTAAAAAAGATTTTAAATACAAATCAGTTACGTTTTGAAAAGAGCATAAATAGCCGTCTATCTTTCCGTCGAGCGTATTTTTGCTTTCTTCTTAAGAACATCAAAAAAAAAAAATAGTTTATCTTCCGAATCATTCATCTGATAACTTTCAAAGATTCTTCAAGTTGAATACGACATATTTTTTAAACAGAATTTTTCAAAATTGACAACTATAAATTTGTCGCATCCAGTGAACAATCGAAAAACAATCAGGTATTTTTTTCAATTTTTTAATTTGTTTGGATGAGACATTCGTATATGTCAAGTACAAGAGTGTTGTTTTTTTTTCCTGATTGAATCAGTGAAATCTTTGTATGCATTGGGATTTATAGCTTTTTTCGGATGTTTTGTATCCAAATTATGATGTATAACGAATGAAATTGTTTTTTTTTTTAGTTTAGTAGCTATTTTCTCTATTTGAATGCATACAATAATTTGTATCCCATTAAGTTAATGTAACTAATCGATCATGAACTATATGTTGAATACAACAATATATGAATACAAAAGTGAGATGAAAATACAAAGTTATAAATACAAAGTGAGATTGAATATAAAGTTGTGAATACAAAAGAAATTAAATACTCTCTTCACTTGAAATACAAAGTTACTTTGAAAGGTAAAGTAGGCACATAAAATACAAAACTTGTTGGTATACAATTAGGTTGAATACAAAACAAAAGAGAAATACAAACTTGTTCACATACAAATTGAGATTGAAATACAGAATGAATACCCAATAAAATACAAAATTGTTAGCATACAGTTAGGATGAATACAAATTAAGAAGGAAATACAAACATGTTGGTATACTAATTGAAATTAAAATACAATGTAAAAACAAAAAATGTAAAGCTTGTTGATATATAGATAGAATGAATACATAAATAAACTGTTGATTCAAACATTGTAGACAGACATATGCTTTCCCTAAATCTAAAACCCTAAAAGCAAATTTAAATGTAATAAAAATCAAACAAAATAAACATATGAATGAATTTGTAGATTATAATAAATCAGAAATATTAAAACGAAATCAGAAAAAAATTGTTTAATCGATTAAAAATCTAAAATACATAAATTTTAAATGAATATGTAAACAAACTTGCATAAAAATTGAAAAAATTAACGGAAAACCCGTAATATGTACAATGTGAAATATAAATCATAAACGGTGATATTAAAAACAAATCAAAGAAATATAAATAACTAATTGAAATACATAAATATTAGATGAATATGTAAACAAACTTGCATAAAAATAAAAAAAATTGACGGAAAATCTGTAGTATGTACAATGCGAAATATAAACCATAAACGGTGATATTGAAAATAAATCAAAAGAAATCTAAATAACTAATCGAAATTACCTTTACCAAATTCAAAATTTCTTGAATCAATATATAGATTTTTTTTACCAATCGAGAAATTTCTTGAATTAATACCGAGATTTTGTTGAAGAATCGAACTTTGAATAATTTGTGTTTCAAGGTTAGCAAAAAACTTGAAAAAAGAGAATCTGGAAACATGAAAGCTGGGGAAAAATAAAAACTTTATGTTAGAAACGTGAAAGGTGGGAAACGTGTAAGATGTGGGAAGAATATTAAATGATAATTTTGTATTTGTTTTTTATTTTTAATCTGTTATTGGTTAGAATTTGGTCCAATGATGGACTCTTTTGATTAATAAAGAAAATATAAATAATAAAATGTGAATACAAATTCTTTTTGAGAATATTGACATTCTCACATTTTAAATAAATATTTTAAAGTATTGTTGTTTTGACTAAATATGTTAGGTATTATGACTAGATAGCTAATTTTCCCTATTTGAAGGGTTGTCATATTAGATTTTTTAATGTAAAATTTAGTTTTAGTGATTTTTATTGATACAAAAGTCAAAGTTAAGTGATTTTTTTGATACAAAACAAAGTTCAATGACTTAGCTAGATAAATTTCCAAAGATAGGTAATCTTTTGAGATATTTAACTCGTTATTCTCGTGGTGACTTTAATAGTTGTTTTTTCTAATTAACTATATGACTATTCTCATATCAATCTACTATTAATTCTTTTTGAAAATCTAAAATCCAATAAACATAAATAAGAGTTTGCTACATTAAGATGAAACTGAAAGACGAATTACAACCTCGAAAAGTTCGACCATACAAATTCATTGAATCATAATTCTATATAGAAAAACAAAAGACATAAAATGATACATTGAAGAAAACATAATTAAGTTTCTAAATTATTAGCATTTTCGAGGTTATCCTCATTTGTCGACGGGAAATTAAGTTTGGCTTTAGGGCCGTGATACATCCTTGTCGCCGTATCAAAGGCCCTTGCAGCTTCTTCCGATGTTTTGAACGTACCAAGCCAGACACGTACCTTCCGGATAGGATTTGTAATCTCAGCTCTATACGTCCCCCATGGCCTTTTTCTCACACCTTTATACCGCACCTCGTTTGGTGGTACAACCACCCCGTCATCGTCACGTCATCATTCTTTTTCTTTGCCATTTGAGAAAACTAAAAGAATGTTTTGTATATAGAGAAGACACGGTGAGTGAAAAGATAAGAGGGAGAGTGATTTATATAGCTGTTTCTCAGAGATACATTTAATTTGGTCAACTAATTATATATTACATTTGGAAAAATAATTATTGAATTGTTGACTAAGATTACATTAATTTTGACTAGGGAAATTCTCTTAAGGTCCACTAAGTTTTCTTATCAAAAAATTATATTTTCATTAATCATAAGTTCATAACCAATCAACAATACTCAAAGGTAAGTAAATCGCTGAAAAGGAAATTTATTAATTTAGTTACAACATCATCTTTGGTCAAACAATATTTTTTTTGAAAAATAAGTAAGGTGATATGTGGTGTAATCTTGTACCTTAGGGTTATGGTTTAAATCAAAGTTCCATTCTTTTTATTATTCTCAAGTTCTTGTTTAGATTATTAACAGATGACATAAGTTAAATTCAATAACTACGATTTAATTGATTAAAAATAAATCCTAAATAATAATTTATATAACATTATATGTAAGGAGAAAATAATCTATCTTCCTTCTTCTTTTATCTTTCATGCTGGATACTTTTGTTTCGTCTCATTTTATGTTATTTTTTTATTGCATTTTTATTTGAACTTTCTCTTTTTAACATTTATTGAATTTTAAATACCCATGAACATGGGCCTTTTTTAAAAATAATACTTTATATTGATATAAAATTAGAGAAGACTATCACATTATTCATTTTATTCATTCATAAAAACACAATTTTTATGAGAAGTACTTGGTGTAGTATGACAGAATCCTAGGTAATCTAGTACGTGTTAATTTGCTATTTTAGCTGAAAATGAAAGACGAAACAACTTCCCTCAATCCACAAGGTTCCTTCATGTCTTTTCCTTTTCCGATCAAACAACCAAACAAAAATTCATCTAATAAAATTTGGTAGCGGCGAAAAGTATGGCCTCTCGGGGTCTTATACATCATGTCATGTCTAGGGTGTACTTTGGGTCATCACACATTCTTAGGCCACATTATGTATGGCAAGGGTATTCTAGTCGACGCTCAAAAAATTGAAGTAGTGCAGAATTGGCTCAGACACACATCCCCAACTTACATAAGGAGTTTCTTGAATTTGGTGGGTTACTTCAAATGGTTTATCGAGGGGTTCTCATCTATTTCATCCCCATTGACTAATTTGACCCAAAAGAAGGCTAAGTTTCAATGGTCTAAGGCTTGTGAGAAAAGTGTTTAGTAATTAAAAACTCGATTGACTATTGTCGGAGGGTACAAAAGGTTTTTTCATCTATTGTGATGCGCCTAGAGTAGTGCTTGGTTGTGTACTGATATAGAATGGTAAACCTATATCTTATGACTCCAAACAGTTTAAAATCCACAATAGAAATTATCTGACTCACAGTCGCGAGTTTGCGGCAGTGGTCTTTTTTAACGACCCAACTGTCGTTAATTAGGAGGAACAAAAATTCGGGGAATTCTGAGCCACTGTCCCGCCACAGCGGGCTAGATGCCGCTAGGGCGGTGGCGCCAAGGCGGGATAGGCGAGGCAGGACGTAAATTACGAGAAATCTTATTTCCTCCATCTTCCTAAAATACCTAAATAAGTCGTAAAACACCCTCAAAATCTCAGAAAAAGTGGCTCTAAGCTTGAGAAGGGAAGAGAAGGAGATTTCTAGCATCAGGATGGGGAAATCTTGTGGATTCTTTGACAAATCCACCATCGTGAAGCCCGTTAAACCCGAATTTAAGTCAAAATTCTGTGTAACTGCTTGACGCCCATGTAGGCTAAGGTTTTATGAATTTAGTAGTTTAAATTTGTGCTCATCACGTGATATATATAAATCAATGGTAGGGTTTATGTGTAGACCTTCGTGCATCGAAATTCCTTGGGAAATTCCTAGAAATCAAAGCAATTAGGTTTATACCTTGAGAAGGGAATTCGATGATTTGTTAGGGCTTCTAGACTTGCTATCTTGGATAGAATTGTTTCAAGAATACGACTATGAAATCATGAATGAAACTAGATTTATGAACATATGCTAGACTATAAATTGGGGTGAT